GAGTTACATGTCATAAAGGGATAGAAAATCGAAAGTACTAACTTTAGGACTAATTATTATGTATTATGTTTTGTATTATGAATATTATGTTTTATTTTATTACTGTATATTATATATTATTTCTTCACTTTTTCCATTGTTAATGAAACTTTTTTTACCTATTAAATAACTTTATACCTTATGCAGAAATTATAACTATATTGTTTTAAAGAAAAATCCCTTTTCTTCCCAAATACACTATCCACGCGCAATGTGCACAATTTCGGCGGGTGGTTCCGTTCAGGAGGGACGCTACGGCGGACTGAACCGCCGTAGCGAAAGGGTTAATGTACAATAACGTATAAAATTTGTCTCTAGTACTGGAAAGGGTAAGCAGAACTTAGTATAAAAAACTATAAGGAGACCCATTTAAATTGGCAATTTCATAGGACATTTTACAAGAATCAAAATTATAGAAAATGAAAAATCCATTGTCGACTAAGAGATTGTTCAATGGAACAAGAATAGGAGAATGCTATTAGTTCTTGTTAAATTACAGGTTTTCATGCAATTTCGAAATCTGAACGTACTGTAAATGCATAAAAATCCACAATGCAATAATTACGTGCATATTATATTTATTATAATATTATATTATATTATATTATTATTGCAATATACTGTACAAGTGAAAAATATATTGGGCGACATATTGTTTGGTTTAATTTCGTTGATAACTCACCGCTTCTCTGCATCTTCGGGCTCAGCATGTTGACCAAGTGTGGCCAATAGGCTTCCTTCCGGCAAATCCCGTAATAAACACTAGATTGTCCAATATTATGCGACGGGATACCGTAGAAAATGTCCCCGTGCCGTCATGTATGTCGTGCACGGACGTTTATCGTGGCGTAAGTACCGCAGGAACTCCAATTTCTTGAGTTTCTTCAGCAAAGACCTTCGGCAAACCTAATAAGACAAGTAGAAAATAACGCTTAAACTTCCTTATCTACGAAGACTGCGACGGGCTTTTTTACTGAATAAATTTGTTCGCTTTTTTTTCCCCCTATAAGCAACGTCGCCGCGCACTTAGTTACACGCTTCACGGAATACGTTATAATCTTATAGCGTTTTAAACACGTGATATACAGGGTGAGGCACCTGAAACAGGCCAGCCGAATAACTTGCTTGCTTGTAACGATAGAGAAAAAAAAGCGTCAGGTAAAAGTTGCTTGATTTCGCGGAGAGCACATAATACGATATGAATAGTTTTTTTTTGTTGATGGAGACATAGAAATTAATAGAAATTATATTTAATTATATTTAGCAATTGGTTAGTGTTTAGAAACTATTCGTTCAAAGTTTTACCCAAAATGTATAGAAGAGTAATTAATTATTGTTATATTGCATTTATTACATAGAAGTTTTCTTGTAAAAAAAAAATTTATTCGACGCACTTATTGCAACACCGGATGCATCGTTTGTGCAGCAGTGCAATAATCAATGCTACCTTGCTTAATTGAAACACCCGTTCGAAATGATTAATTCACGAACACCGGTATTTAATTTTAGCGCAGGGATAATGTTTCCACGTGTACGAATTTCGGATAAATTAATGTTCACGTTGCAAAATATTAAAACATGAATTTTTTAGAAGTTTCAATAACTGAGCGAAATGAATTTTTCTGAACAGCTTTTTTTTCCGATGCAATAATCAAGATCGATACTTTCACAAATTTATTGAAAAATATAGATTAAAATGTTCTTTTTTATTGGCGCTATGAAATTGTTACAAGAGGATATATTTTGCTCCTATTATTTGTAACAAGTTGCGATAGAGGAATATGGCAATTTACTCCGAAAGTATAAATCAAGCACCAGTCAGTCGGCGTAATGAAATAAATTAATTCAATAAAGGAAGATTTAATTTGAAGATTGCACATGTTGCTTGCTAAACCCAATTAATACTTCTGAATTGCTGTCGTCATCTGTATCATCGTTTATCGTTGCACAACGTTCGAAATGAATAAAATGCGCCCGCAGAATGACAGAACATTTCACAGGAATATCTGACAGCAATTGTCAGGTATTCGTATGTATACATATATATTCATACGTATATGTATGTATATATATATATATATTCATATCATATATGTTCGCTGATGAATTCAAAGGTCCGTTCTATGATCATACGATAGCTCACTGAAAATCATTTCTTTAAAACCTTTGAATGCGAAATGAGTGAATTTAAAACTCTTTTCAAAATATTACACGAAGAAGTGTAAATTGAACAAAATTTCATTTTCAAAAGCTCCAGTACGTTATCAGAGGTCTGTGTTAAAAATTCTTGCTACCTGTTTTTTCAAAATGAAATTATTAAATTTTACGAACAAACTATTGCCAAAAGATTTAGCTTGAGAAACTGCCGAAGAACTATGAATCTAATTCAATATCAACATTACTGGGTCACTTATTCTCGATCATATTGATTCGTTGCTCCGAACTGATCAAGTTAGCATTCGATTGCTATTATTAGTCAAGTCAGCCAAATTTCATGATACGTATTCCTATCAGTATCTAAAATTAACTAAAGCGGCTATTTCTTGGTGAAAATGGTGAAAATGTTTATTTTCATGAAAAATTAAATGTTGCTCGTTTTTATGATGAACTCTGTACGAAGTTATAAAACAGTGCAACAGACTGCTTTTGTTATGAAACTAACGTTTGCCTGTTATAAACCTGTTAGTTTTAGTATGCACATGAACATAATCTGATACACTATAACGTTACATAAATCTTCGCTTAACTTTAAACACTGCAGTGGAAAATAATGCTGCGTTGAGCAAGTAGCGAAATATGGTGTGTACTATGTTTTCACAAACAAGTATGATACAGTAATAATTTGATATAGTAAGTGTTATACGATTTCCTATTTTAACATCGTATTTTTAAAATTTGAATTAGAGGAACAAATATCTTTGCTGACTTATGTTGCTCAAAAATATACTAAAACTGTTATCAGTTCTCCTTAATACAACATTTAATATAAATAAAGGCACAAAGATTCACAGTCTCGTAACAACGCACAATGGTCGATTTTCATAGAAAATTGGACAGAAAAGAAAAGATAATTATTGTGTAAGTAAAAAATTGTTAAGCAGTTCGATTTATTATTACAACATAGGACCCTCTAATAATAAACCTTGTGGGTTTATTAACAAAAAAAAAAGATAAAAATCAATAAAGACGTTATGTCATTACAATGATTTTTGTCTCATTTTTCAAATGATCTTCAGAAAATGTACCATGCACCATTATGTTTCACCATATTTCCATTTTCGCTATTTATCTCGTCATTATCGAAGACGAATCTCAGCTAATGAATTTCCGAATTCGAAAAGAAGTAGATCGATTAACAAATATGTTCCGATAAAATCTAGCTGTTAAGTATAATTCCGATCAAATCGAGCAGTAAACTCGATTGTTGCAGAAACAAAACGTCGCAGCTTCGCGAATCCCTCTATCACCTACTCTCAAGTTTATGGGTAGTAATAGCGAAAGAAACATATTTTCTCACGTCGAAGAATACAAGTACGAGAGACTGTCGGAACAATTAAGGTTTGATCACCAGAAATATCCCCTGGTTTATCGCGGCAGCCGGTGGACAATGGCCAATCACTGTCCGACCCTAACAATAAAGCCGCACCGATATCGATTTACAGCCTGCCGCTCAGATTAGGCCCAGGAGAAAATAACGTATGTAAAGCGAAAAAGAGCAAGCGTTCCCACTCGGAATATACGAGACGAAGTATACTTTCGAAATGTCTTTCGATTCCCTCTTCGGAGTGCTTGATCGGGTAATGAAATGTTCATGAATCCCGAGATTCCCGAGGCGGAACATAGAGCAATGCTTTGCTAAAACCTCTCGGGGCAACGTCGGTGTTTCATAATGTAACGGCGCGTAGTTGAGCATTTACTGAAGTGTTTGTACAAGATGTCCTTTGCTGCGCATCGATATCCCAAGTGGCATAACCGCGGCACGGTGCGTCGAAACTCCTTTCAGTTAGGGTAATGGAGCCGGGGATGATTGAAAATATAGATATTTTTGTGAAACGTTTAACGAAACGTTCGCTCGTTAATAGAAATCGCAGAAGTTCCTGAACGATTGCTATTACGATTTTCGTCATTTAGAGGACGTCTCTTCAAATGCCTTTAACCCGAGAAAGATAACCTACGTCGCAGAGGCGCCTGCGAAGACTGTTGATTTTTGTTAATTTTTCATAGAGGTCTAGTGATTTAAGTTTAAAATTACTTAAAATATAAAAAAATATAATATAAATGCATTTTATTTTTACAATAATGCCAAACCTTTAAAATGACTAGATTAACTTAAATAAATATCCATTGTTAGTATAAAATTGACGCCTTAGAAAAGCATGCGCCTCTGAAGCGTATGGTTATCTTTTACGTACGTTGTCATATGGTTATCTTTCTAGGGTTAAATATACCGCCAACAGTTCTATTATATTTTTTTAATGCAAACGAAAATATGTTATATCGAGCCGCGTGGGAGACAAAATTGAATAGACACCCTTTGCAACGCAATAACTTTCTTATAACTGGACTAAACGACTTGAATTTTTTTTATGTGATAGAGGGACTAGTCTACTAGACAATGACGAAAATGCATTTTCCTAACTTCGATATTACTTCAAATGACAAAATAAATAAGAAACTTACGTTTTCAACTTTTCTATCTAAACATATAACGAAAATGTAGAAAATGCGTTTCGTAGATCTCCGAAAATTTCATCGAGGAAAGATCGAATATTATTGTTTCATGATTAACCCTTTACAGGACTGTCAATTACTGCCAGTTGTTGCTTCGGCAAATATTGCATATTCCCAAATTAGCAACTGCAAGTAAATTTACGTTGATACATTGCAAACTTGATGAGTTAGAGGATTGCATGAATTTTTAAATAATTACATTAACGTGTATTAGTAATAACTTGTTTAAATTGCGTGAGGCCATCGCGGCCACCATAATTCTGTTAATGATTAATTTGATTGTACTGTTCCAGGCTATAGTAATCGATTTAATCGTAGATTTACGAAACGCGTCGAAATAATACGTACCAAGTTTTCTAATTTACGATTATTGAAATTGTAAAGATACATTTGGGAGGAATGTATGGGGTAATCACCGCGAATTNGAAGACTGTTGATTTTTGTTAATTTTTCATAGAGGTCTAGTGATTTAAGTTTAAAATTACTTAAAATATAAAAAAATATAATATAAATGCATTTTATTTTTACAATAATGCCAAACCTTTAAAATGACTAGATTAACTTAAATAAATATCCATTGTTAGTATAAAATTGACGCCTTAGAAAAGCATGCGCCTCTGAAGCGTATGGTTATCTTTTACGTACGTTGTCATATGGTTATCTTTCTAGGGTTAAATATACCGCCAACAGTTCTATTATATTTTTTTAATGCAAACGAAAATATGTTATATCGAGCCGCGTGGGAGACAAAATTGAATAGACACCCTTTGCAACGCAATAACTTTCTTATAACTGGACTAAACGACTTGAATTTTTTTTATGTGATAGAGGGACTAGTCTACTAGACAATGACGAAAATGCATTTTCCTAACTTCGATATTACTTCAAATGACAAAATAAATAAGAAACTTACGTTTTCAACTTTTCTATCTAAACATATAACGAAAATGTAGAAAATGCGTTTCGTAGATCTCCGAAAATTTCATCGAGGAAAGATCGAATATTATTGTTTCATGATTAACCCTTTACAGGACTGTCAATTACTGCCAGTTGTTGCTTCGGCAAATATTGCATATTCCCAAATTAGCAACTGCAAGTAAATTTACGTTGATACATTGCAAACTTGATGAGTTAGAGGATTGCATGAATTTTTAAATAATTACATTAACGTGTAT